AATAGGTCCAATGATGTTCGTAACAGGACAGAAAGTTATAAGAACAAGATCAAAACACAAGATGCTACATGAAATGTAGTAGGCTGATGAATACCGTTATTTCCAAAAACGAAATCATCAAGAAGAATGGTATCATAAATGCCAACTAAAAAATTAAAGGGAAAAATTAACAAATCAACAATTACGTAATCAAGTCATATAATTGAGATATATTTAATCCTATAAGTGAATTTCGGTAATCATTAGTTTACCACAGGAATGAGAATTTTGCCGCACTACTTTTCTGTTCACATACTTAAGATGGAAGGCGTTTGGTGACAATGTTTTTGGTTATGTGGAGTGAAAAACAGTGTTCTTTACTTTTGAACCATTTTGAATACTTTTTTGATGTTTATCCAATGCTCACCATTCATTCAGTTTATAGTGACCCGATATTGTATATTGAAACCAGTTGAACTGTAGTAGAATACCCATTTGTTAACATTTTATTCCTCACCCCCTTTGTACGTATAACTGGTTACTAAATACACCTTGCTGACAAGTCCTAACTGTAAGTCGAACCTAGTTCTAGGATTTCGTGATAAATACTTTTAACTAGTTTACATTAATATATGATGAACACAGTGTTTAGTTACCTTGACTACTGAGCATATTGCAACTTGATCGATTAACTTCAAACTACACTAAGGAATTGATAAATATGACATTAATCACCACTTAATGAATAGTCAGTATGAATTCAAAGAATATTAAGCAACCAAAATGCAAAAAGAATAGTAAAGATAATGAACACATATTGTTTATATTATGGACATCTCTGGGAGATTTTATCTTTCACTGTTATGGATACTGTAAGACACAAACTAATAGTTCTTATGAATGTCCCTAAAAACTGAAGTTTGTGGATTATAATAACTTACTTATTTCGTGATTTCAGTTAATTCGTTCCATTTGTTTTATCTAAGAACCAAAATACTTATTCGTTGTAACCTGGTTTTAATTAATGTAGTGTAAGTAATAGTGTTAACTTATAAACATAAAAAAGCCTATTGATCTGTCAAGAAACCTAAATAACTCCTTCCATTCACAAATATAATGATCAGTTACTTTCATCGAACAAAAAACATGTTTGTTCTACTGTTGTTTCCAGTATTAAAATTTAAACTAACTGACTTAAAAATTTTTTCATTGAGATCATGAATCGATTGGTGTTAGACTACCAGTGAAAATCTGGAAGCACGCAACCACCGTTTCGTCCTATTATGCCGGCTCAATGGTCTAGAGGTTAAGCGTTCGCACGCGAGCCCGAAGTTTCTGGGTTCGAATTTCATGTGCAGGGTCGTAGATGAGTATTGCTGAGTAGTTCCATACTGGGACGAAACGACCGTCCAGTAGGTTCAGCTTTTCAATGTTGGTCTAACATCAATTAATTCATGATCTCAATCAAAAACTTAATAATTTCCACAATTCCATACTGATGATTTAAAAGTAACAGACACGAATTGTGACTGAATAATTGTTCAGGAGTCTACAAACTAGACAATGGATGGAATTAATTCGAAGTCGAATTATTGATCACTGAAGCGTTAGTTGTAATTCAATTGATTGTATGAAGAAGTAACAATATAATCTTGAGTGTTTATCATATCAAATAATTATTCTGTCTATACATAGAGAGTAGTTGGCAATATGAATATTAGTGAGATCACGAATTGGTCTAAGTTAGGCAAAGAAAGGAAATCTAAAAGCTCTGAATGGCTGTTTTGTCCTAGCATAGGACTCCTTGGCATTTCACATCCATGACCCTGCATGGGGGAATAGTAAATATTATTAGTAATAACAAATCCTAACAAGATGGTTTAAAAGTGTCCTTTGACAAATAAAATGATGACTAAATTCCATTATAGTATTATGTGTATTCTTTTCAAAATATTGTAAACTAAACAAAGTGTTGGTAGTGTAAAGCAATAAATTCTAAGTTTAAATCTCATTGTGCGCATCAACACTGAGATACAGATAAATCTAGTTAGTGAGTTCCTAATAAGATGATATATGTGTCCAGAATTCCACTATCAACTTTAATGTGTTGCATTTGATTCTACATATCTTTACAATTTAACTGTATGATATGATTTAATCCAATTTTGGTGGAGTTTTGTTCTGCGAGTTAGATGATTTAGTCATGGAATTTTCATCTTTCTTCTGAACGACATCATCAGCAAAAATTTCAGGTAGAAGCGAAATTCGAACATATTACTTCTACTTGAAGTTTGTGTTGATGATACCGTTCAGAGGAAAGGTGAAAGCTTCAAAACTAAACTATCCAGCTAAGGGAACAAAACTCCACCAAAATCATCCATCTTCTCCATCATCTCAAGATTTAATCCGATTTTGTTTAAATTTAAAATGTGATCTTTTAATTAATTTACTTAATCTGCACTCCGGTCATAATTATCAGTTTGTATCAAAACTTGAATTGACAAACAGACGTATAGACATGACTGTGAATTTCTGAAATTGGATTAAGTTTGAGGATTCTAAAGTTTATTATAATTATGATTTGCACTAAGCATACTCTGATGTTAATTGAATAATAAATTAATTTGATAATGAACAGTTTAATAATAATTTCAATAGTTCAGATCATGAGTCAATTGAATCTAGACCACCATGGAAAACCTGGAAGCACTGGACATCTATTTCATCCTATCGCGGGACACTTCAGCAGTGTGCATTCGAAGAAACAGCCGTCCAGTGCTTCCAGGTTTTTCATAGTGATCTAGCTCATGATCTCAACTATTGAAATTACTATAATATCCACAAAAATGCTTTCTGAGTTTAATAATAGGAATGAAGTTCATTAAAAATATAAATTTGCCCCAGATTTTCTTTCGAATCCCGCCGCGGGGCCGGATCGTGGGTGCGCACTGCTGAGGAGTCCCATACTAGAATGAAACGGCCGTCCAGTGCTTCCAGGTTTTCCATGGTGATCCAGCTTCAATTGACTCATGTTTTCAACTATTCAAGATTTTTGTACTTTTATTGAAAAATAAAAGTTGAACGAGTTCATCTTCGAAGAAAAAAAGACTTAGATTTCATGGCCTGATTGACTAGGATTTCAAAGTACATACACAACAATCATTTATGTATTAAATCAATCAATCAAGTTCTATTTTGGTTAACATTATAATTCAGAACATAAGTTTCGTTCTGGCTTAAGACTGTTATTTGGATATACCTACTTTCTAGTGTTGATTTTTTACTCTGAAGATGTATGCATACCGATAAAATGTAGTCTCTTACAGTTATATTAAACATGTTAAAGTGTACATAAATGATCTCTCTAGTTGTTTAACAAAATGATAAGGCTATAATTAATGAACAACCTTTGGGCAACTTCAAAGTAACCTTGAGAATGTCCATCTACTAATTAGGACTAAATGAAGATTATAAGCCAGTAGAAATACTTAGAATTATGATTTACAGTTGATGGTTCAGATTAGGAATTAAATTTAGGGTTAAAATGCCAAAACGCCATTTAACCAAATGAATGAATGAATGAATGAATGAATTTCGCACCGAAATCCAAATTATAAAACATGGAACTTGTTGAGCTTATAATAGATCCGATTTTATTGATTGCAGTTAGACAATATGCTTAAGAAATTGTTTATACAATACTATAAGGGTCATTTGGCATTTAAGCCTATTTATCATTATTACCATAATCAATAATATAAAGGTATTCTCATGTTTAAAACTGAATAATATAACTTAATTGAAGGTATATAAATGTGTTTTTATACATGCATAAACATATTGACAGATACTCTGTAGTTAGGTACTATATCCATTAATGACTTAAGTGTCTACTAATATTTTATAGTATGGATATTTATATTAGGTAGTTTGAAGAAGTCAACAGTAAGCCCTGAGTTAAAGAACTTCTCTAGTCAGTATAAGAGTGCCTGTGTAGATTTCGAACTTTCATGACTTAGCTTCACAGTTAGAAATGTTACTACGAAGCTATCTGGGCTTCGATTGACCTTCAGTTGGACTTGAATGTTTTCAACTGATTGATCACAGTGTATTGACCAATGTCGTACTTCACTGGTCTTTTAGTATTGATCAAATTATATCAATTAAGTTATAATGTGACACATTAATCCATAAATCAAACTAGGTTAAATAATATTGAAAAAAAAGATCTTAATCTTATTTATGTAACTGTGTTCTAGGTACCACTGTGCATTAAACACATTTAAAATTGTCACCTTAATAGTATTTGTATTCTGAATTCAGATCATATCCAATTTAGAAATCTGACTGTCTTTAAACAAAAAGAATAGAAATTTACTGTTTCGTTTTATCTGGAAACAAATCAACTTAGCATAAATAATTACTTATGAATTAATAGTTGAGTTTATAAATCGATTGAAGCTAGACTATCATGGAAAACCTAGAATTACTGGACAGCTGTTTCGTCCTAGTGTGCGACTCCTCAATAGCGCGCATCCACGATCCTGCTCGCATGATTCGAACCCAGGACCTATCGGTCTCGCACGCGAACGTCTAACCTCTAGACCATTGAGCTAGCATCCAACGGTCTTAATGTCTAACTTTAACCAATCCACAAAATGGAGCCACCGTCAACCATTGTCTTCAATGAGTTACTATTTCACAACAGACCTGGTTGAACTCCACTAGTCACTGTTTCTCACTAGAACTCCAGGAAATATCTAATGAAGCCAGTCGCTAATAAGCATATGATGATTATTACTAGAAAGGGATTTTGTGGAGTTTATAATAATTCAATAGCTGAATTCATGGGTTAACTGAAGTTAGACCACCATGGAAAACCTGGAATCACTGGACGGTCGTTTTATCCAGGTTTCTCCACTAAAACCTCATTGTGATACTTATAAATTAATAAGTAATATTCATTAGATAAATGAAATTTACTCATAATTTTATATATATATATATATAATCATACTCACTTTCGATGGGATACGAATTTGGAGGTGATTGTTTTGAATTTCCTAATAATTCTATCGGTTCATTCTTGAACGCTGACCTTATTATGGGAAGATACTGATCGGTTTCACGGATCATTCCGCATAATTTAGAACATATATATATATGTAATAATCCCCTTCAAAAATTTGCTAATCCAATCAAAAACAAAGACAACTCTCTTACTGGTTCAGAAAATTTCACGATCAAACAGACTAATTTGAGTTTTTTGTTTGTTTTTTTAAAAAAAAAAGAAAACATAAAATGGATAGGAAGGAATAGTCTATGCACGAATCACATATTTTTCGAATGATAAGAATGTACAAATTTCATTTGTGGTTTATAATTATCTACCTATTTCATTTAAAGTGTTTCACCAGTGGTAACAAACAAAATTAAAGATGGGGAAATGTATGGATATTTAAAGAAAATGATAAAATTGAACATTATGTCCCCTGATACAATAAAAGGGACAGATGAATTACACAAACATAACTATTATTTTAACATATTGACGGGGTGGGATGGTGGTGGTGGTGTATGCAACTACTATTTCTATTGTAAGTTAAGCAGGGATAGTCATAAATGTTAAGTCAATGGACAAATGATGAGACTGATTAAAAAAATAAATAAATGAATCAGTTACGGACTCTATGATTCTTTTCTCAAAATGTATATCATGAAACAAGTTTTTTTACGGTGAAAGCAATTCACAGTTATGATAATACGATTTATTAAATTACTTGTAGAATAATATTGCACAAGTGTTATGCAAATAAAATCCTTACAGAACTCTTATTAAACTTAGGTTGCTAATGCTTTCGAGTCAAATTATTGTTGTCAATGTAAACTTCATATTACAAATAAAAATGTTTCTTAATGATCATTCAAAGAGTAAGAACAATGTTTGAAGAAAAGTAACGTGATTTAGTATTATTTGTTCAATCCTCGGTTAGTTGTTAATGTCTAAAAAGTGAACTAGAATATAGTTCTTTTCTTTATAGGCAAATAATCATTTAAACAACGAATGGAATAACAAATAACAGATGATTTTATAGATATTAATATACTAAAATGATTAGACTAGTTGATTTGTAGTAGTGTTAATAGTTGAATTCATGAGCCAATGTAGGCTAGACCAGAAGTGAAAACCTTGAATCACTGAACGGCTGTTTTATCCTAGTATAGGATTCTTCAGAAGTGCACATTCACGATTCTGCACCGAAGGGACTCGAATCCAGGACCCAGGAGTTCGCACACGAACTATTAACCTCTCGACTACTGAACTGGCATTTAACAGTGTTAGTTATTTTATCATATGTTTTTTTGCTAAGATGACTGAATAGTTCTGTCTATTAATTACGGTGAGGAATTTGAAGAGTTTACCTTCTATGGAATAAGTTATATCTAATATCTGTGAACTATAATTATCGAAAAAAAAGCCCTGAAATATGTTTGTTTCCCTGTCTTTAAAAACTGTACACAACAATTAATTGAAATTCATTTAATATGCTAATAGAAAAGAAGTACAATGGATTCTATTCATTCATCTATTGAATAAATCATTCAAATGATCTGATCACTGTATATCACAATTGATCGATCACTGGGTGGTGATCAATGTCATGCGTGTCTAGTCCTTATTAGTGCGGATCGAATGCTATCGACCATGTTGCAATGTGGCCACCAGCCTAGGCGACTCGACACTGCGTACATTATTGTGAGATTAGATGGTGGTTGGAGGAAGTCGACAGGGTTTTCTGTCGACTACCTCCAACCACCATCTAATCTGATCACTGTATAAGTTCTACCAAATTTCAAGTTCAATTCTTTATTCATTATATACATTATATGATAACATCATAGTTCCATGTGAATAGGTAGTGATAGATTTTTATGAAATTGATTATGTAAATGTATGCAAAAAGCATTCATATAGAAACGTGACATATCATTACCCTTCTCTTTCATGTTCGAATAATTGAAGGAGTTAGGATATAATTTTATTCAGTCTTTTCAAGGTTCACTAACTTTTTCGATGGTAGCATTCCATAGAAAAAAAACAATCAGAAGGAATAATTTGTCTTTGTTCTAGGTCTTTAATATATAGATTGACTTTTTTTTATTATTTGATGAGCTACAGAGTATTTACATCTTATCAGGTTAGGATGAACGTTAATAATTATGGGGTGTACTTTGAAATTGGAAACACGATATAAGTTGATTTCAGCCTCCATCATTTAAGGCTAGTCGTCAATAATAGTTGAGATGTTCATATACGAAAATAAAAGTTGTCTATACTGTTGTAATGACGTCTAACAGACAAGATGAACTGTGTGAACCATAGATTTTCAATCACTTACTTAGTTTAATCTTAGTTTCATATCTATACGTATACTACTATGTTGTAGCAAAAGTGTATAAGTGAGACAATGTGTATTTTGACAATGAAGTGATAATTATTAACTAAGTGTTATGATCTTCAAATACTTGCTCCAGTCATCTAAAAAAAATTAAGTAAATATCATTTCAGTAACTATCTGATCAAGTAATGTTCTCTTGTTATTGCCACAAGGTTTCAAGAACAGGAAGGAACTGGATTTTGAAATTCGGTCAGATAATATAGGATAATAGTAGGGTGTTAGACTATTGGTTTAGCATGAATTCATAAGTAGAGAGTTTTACTGGTTACATATAACTCCATTTATTTATTTATTTATTTTAACACATATATATTGATACAAGAATGCACCAAATACATATACGCCACACAAATCTAATTTGATTTGTGTGAGGGCTGTGATACTGCCTGGGTGCCCAAACCGGAGCAGGTGGTTTTTTTAGGGAACCACACCCGGAACCTTCGACCTACAGGTTTGATCCACAAGGCAGTGAAGCAACGTAAGGAGATGCAATCTCATGGTAGCCGGTTACCAATGATTGGTTCATATGCCATTTGTTCCTTCAGGATACTGGAGTCCATGTGCACCACTGGTATGGAATCAAGGTTTTCCAACTCCCCTAGGTGGACTCTCCATGTCCACCAACCTGGTTAAAGCGCCGGACATTCGCTTTTTGTCCTCTCAATTTCGTAAACAACACCCTCGCCACGAGAAGGCAGTGAGTAGGACTTCCCTGGCGGAGGCTATATACGCGTGGCTATGTGAGATCATTTGGAGAGAGAGAGAGCGGACTCTTCCCACTCTCGGCCATGCTAGAGCATTTTGGGGCATCTAACTCCATAATTTTATACATTTACCAAACATGCTATACAGTTGAATCAGGTTTTGAATCCAGTTGGAGAATATGCCTTTAAAATCAACGAAAATGTTAGCAAATATACTACGAAAGGAGCTCACCACTTACACGATATACTTCACTTTTATGAATTAGATAGGCATTATTAATAATATTGAATTTTAAATATTTATTTGTCAAGGCGATTAGGCTTCAATTTTTTTAGGCGATGATTTGAAAAAAAGCATTCTTTATAAACTATAGCAATACTACTACGACTAATTTCCATTACGGCTAATTTTCATCAAGCCCTCTTATTAACTTCTTTAACAGGCAATGTTACACATTTTAATTATAAAACTTTACATCGTTTTATTTTTCTTAAAATTAAAATAATCACTTATTATCTGTTTAGCATGAAATTTTACAAAAAAATTCAAATTAAATTAACCATGTAAACATGTACTCAATAAGTAGGACAGTAAAACAAAAATGGTAAGTTATGGGTTCTCGCGCACATGTTACATGTTATCGCGTACTTTATATATATGTATATATATATACAGTAGTGATTGAGAACATACATATTTGAATACAAAATTACAGAATGTCTTAGTAAAATCTGAGAATCATACTGTAAATACTTCATTTGCAAAATGTCGATCAATCGTCTCATACCTCAATGTCCTTTCGTTTCCACACCAATCATTCATTGTTCTCGTTCTCTTTCCTTTGATCTTCCTAACATTCTGCCTCCAGGCATTTCACTTTCAATTGACGGTATATACCACTTATATCTGCCGACATCAGTAACACACGTCCCAATATATATACATATGTTAGAATAGGTTCGAACTAGGATCCAAAGATAAACAATACTGTTCACTTAATGTTTAATGTTCTAGTTTAAACTACAGGGATTATCATTGATAATTCCTATTTCTCTAGAGATCATTGTTTCCACTCTTGTAATAAAACATACTTCGTATCAGTGACTAAACCTTCAGGGGAACTAAAAACTTCACCATTGACTAACAATCATTTTAATTTAGTTAACTAATAATGCCTCTCTTTTTCTTGTCCGAAAAAATTATTTTAATGGATAGATAGAGTGGGGATAGCAGAGGTAGAATGGGAGTTTTCTCCTATTTGAGACATGTTAGCTGGAAGTGTTTTGTCATTATTTAATGCTAAGTGAACGGCAAGTGAATCTTTTTGAACGATTTCATTCTTGTAAATATTAAGAGAAAACAATGTATCATTCTGTGTCGATTCAATTGCAACGGTAAACCTTTAGCAAGTTTTAATTTTGTATAATCATATGTTTCGTTCCAGAGGGGGCAAGCAGAGGATCATATATAAAAGAATCTTCACGAGGGGAGAAACGACAGATATGTAGAACGGATGACTTAATAAGCACAAATTTATTATTGGCTAAAAGGGGGTTCTTTTTATAGGTAGATAATTTATCAGGATGTTGTGCGTTGAGGTGACGCTTTTTTTCTTACCTTAACTAATCAAGTTATAACATAGCATATTGATAGTAATACTCTACTTGACTTTCAAAATATTGTAATTCTTTATATATAATCTTTCCGGGAGAGTTTGGTAGTACAATATACACTGAATTTATATGGTGTAAGTAGTATAAGCTGAAAGTTAAATAGTCTGATGAATTGGTTAAAAACATACATTTGGAATTTATTTCAATATTAGAAGGTAGGATATCACAGATAACTAATTTCTTATTTGATGTTACGAGAATGAACAAATAAGCGTATCAGTAAATTTGTAATGGTATTTAAAAATGAAATTATATTTTACATTTATGAAATTCCTAAAACTCTCCATCATTGTAATTTTACTGTCAATATAATGGAAAGAACCTGAAAAGTCCTTTCAAATCATTGCTATTCATTTTTTTCCTTTCCTCTGCCTTGTAGTCTAACCTTTATTCAGGTCTCTTTTAGCCACGCTATGCGCTCTTCGGTTTTCCTTGTATGGGTTTTGATTATTTGACTGTGTCTAAAGATATAACTTTCAATACTTAATTAAAATGTTGCATGCTTCCGGACTATTGTAAATAAGGTCGTGTTCAACTAAACTAGATGTCAGTTGATTGTTGTTAACTTTTGACTGCGTTCTCAGAGCGGTTAATGGATTATTTTTTTGATTCTCATGTTTAGAACTGTTATTTAGGAACTATTCCTTTTCACGTTAAGCACGTTACTTTGTGCTAGAGAAATCTTTGACTCTTTAGCACAGGATTTATTGTTTGAAATATTTCGTATCCTTGATATAATTTGTTTTTTTTCTTGAATTAATACCGTGTAAACTGAGCAAAGAGTTTGTGTTTCGATACAATTTAGTATAAGTCACTCAAAAACAATTGCACGCCATACAGAAGAACGTAGTTTGACTTTTCCGAATAAGCTTCAGTTTTTTAGTTTTGCATTGAGACCGAATATTGGGATTTCAGCCGTTTCGATCTGCCAGCCAGATAATTCGGATAATTTCTCTGAATCATTCTAAAGCTCTAAACCATTAACTTCAGTTCTTACCGCTCCCCATATCTTGACATCTTAATCATATAACAGAACCAATGATGATGGGAAACTACGAGAGTCATTTATGTCTAGAAGGAACAACACTGGCCCCAATACTGTACCACTAGGCACTCCGCTAAGCACACTTTCCCAGCTAGACAACTTCTAGTTTACCAATAAACTTTGTCGGTGGCCAAGTTGAAAGTCTGATATCCACGTAAATGAATTGCTTCTGATTCCAATATCAATTACCTAGATAACAACTTATTGTGAGGAACTTTGCCAAAAGACTTACCTAAGTCGACGTAGATTGGGTCTATAGGTAACTTTTGATTTTTAAGAGCGCATCAACTTCCACGGGCTATTAATAAGCTAGTTTTGCATGAATAACGTTCTCTAAAATCATAGTACTTTTCAGAAAGAACCCGTTTTTCGTCGCAAAAATCAAACAACTTCTGAATAATCTTGTCTCAAGTTTAAAAAATCGTGCTGGTTAGGTTTACTGGTCGATAATTACCAGGTGTTCATCTCGTACCTGTTTTAAAGACAGAACTTATTATGACGTTCTTCTAGTTTTTTGGTAATCGACTCTTGGTTGCGGATGGATTAAGACACATGTTTGGGGGTTCGCGCCGATATTCATTCATTCCTTTAGTAACCTAGGATGTATTTCATCGACACCCTCAGATTTACCTATATCACGCTTATTTAGTAAAGCAAGGAGATTGCCTTCTGCAATGGTCGCAGTGTCCACCGTATGTTTGTGTGTCAAAGGCTGTACAAAGCAAAAAGGAACGTCTCTGTGGTATATAAATTGCAGTATATTATGTCAAACTAATTAAGATGTAACACCAGCTAGAAGTGGAATGGCTCGTATAAGAAAGTTGAGAAGATGGAATTTAAGAGAACGGGAATGTAAACAATGATTAATCTTAATGACAATGAAGAAACGATGAAGTTTGAGACAATTGATGAAAGATATGCAAATGAAGTATTTAATGTGTGGTTTTCGCGTTCAATGAAACGACTCTGAACTTTTGCATTCAATAGTAAATTGGTCCTCCACATGTGACTTTGCATTCGCTACAAAGTTACTTAAGTAGTTTAAGGATACCTGTGCTATGCTATTGACTCAGCCCTATTTTGTCCCAGTGAAACTGCAATGCTGCCTCTTCTCTTGATCATTTATTTTATGTACGATTATATGCGTTTGAGCTATTCTGTAGACTCTTTAACAGTCTTTTGGTTATGCAGTCTACAAGACTTGAGGATGATGGGTCATCAATATTTCGAGCTTGCTGATGATAGAGATTTCTCCCATCAGTACTTTATAACACAGATCTCGTCCACATCCTTCCCCTTTTATAAAGAAAGGCGCGGATCTCTTAATTAAACCACGGTGGAGAGTTTCTCAGATTCTTTGGGGTAGTTCAAGGGACTTGCTGTGTCAATGTCCATCTTATTATGACATACTTCTGTCAGCAATCGAATAGGTTAACACAACAATGAAAGCAAAAGCATCCGTGAGACTCAATATGGCTTTGCAAATTGGATTATCAGCTTCTAACCCTCGAATAACACGGAATACCTAGACAATCAGCTAAAACCGGAGGCTGTTTGTAAATACCGGCAAGCGCCGTGAAGAAATAAGATCGTTGTGTTTGAGATCAGATGGTGATTGGAGGTAGGAAACCCTGAACCCGGGTTTCGAGCTACCTGGCACTCGTCAGCAAGGTGCACCTGTAATTTTGAGGGAACTGATGCTCCCTGACGGATTCAATCCCGTCTCACCCAGCTTCACAGTCAGAGACGTTACTACTGAGCTATCTGAGCCGCGACCGACCCCCTGTAGGACTACGATGTAGTCACAATTGATTGATCACTGGGTGGTGATCAATGTCATGTGTGTCAATTCCTTATTAGTGCAGGTCGGACGCTATCGACCATGTTGCCATGCGGCCACCAGTCTATGTGACGACACTGCGTGCACTATGTTGAGATCCGTGTCCAGGGTATCCTGTCCAATCACCGTTGCAACATGGTCGATAACATTCGATCTGCACTGATAAGGACTTGACCCACATGACATTGATCACCACCCAGTGATCAATCAATTATGATCGTTGTGTTTGATATTGGTGTGAAAGTTTCATTCTTTAACATCGAGTCTTTCATTCGGATGATGTTGACTATCTTGACCGGTATTCCGTCGATTCGTAGATATGGCTCATTGTTAAGAGAAATATAAAGTTGGAAATGCTATCTTGTTACTAGTACCACCGTTTTGCAGACATCGTTGTGAACATTGTTGATGAGCAAATTGTACTGAGCTAGTTATCGGTGTTTATAATTTATCAGGCAATAGATGACCATCCTGTCTCATTACACGTCAGTTCTGGTTTTCACCTCCAACCGAAGCTAGCTGATTTGCCTTTATTTCAGTGTTTTACGAATAAACTCTACCGATGCCCACACATTTCATATTCCACGACATCTTAAGTCGTTCAAACGGTTCCACATTACGGAATTCAGTGAAGGACAGTCGGCTGAAATTTAATCTCTTCAAATATTCTACAATGAAGAACTTCCTTCACAAAATGGTCATCTTACATCCTCCCTCACCAACTCCTCACGAACAGATGCAGATGGTGAGATCTTGGTTTACTGATTACAGGTACCTTAGAAACCAGTGTTAGTTACCTAGGTGATATGGACAAAGCCTACGTAGTTTTTCCACAAGAAAGCTTGACCCACTCACCACAAACTGTCCCTAATGTTTAAAACGATAATAAGTCTTAACTTTGCTTCAGAAGGCAGATGTAAATCCTTTGGGGAATGCAGAAAGAGGCCTAACGACTGAGGTTTTCAGGTATATGTTTAGGTGTATGGATATGCCGGAAGAGCTAGTGCTGTTTACGATGATCTACATAGAAGAGATAGACACATGTCATGATCTCTGATATTCGACACGGTGGAAACTATCCCAACAAAACAGTGAGTAAACAGCTTTCTTCAACATTGCATGTTAATACCCCTTCTTTTACATTCGCTGACCTATAAATCTACCGTTCATTTTAAGCTCATCTTCACTTCAGTTCACAATACTTCATGTTGTAGTAGCTGATGCTTAACACGACAATACTTGATGGAGAAATAGCAAATGACCCCAGCCAATTCACTGTCTGCTGAAATAGAAACTTCGATAAGAGTAAATAAATGTAAGAGGGAGTAACTCGAAAAATACTGAAGTACATATCACAAAGAACAATCTAAAAAAACATTTCGCTAGGAGTGACCGAAAATTACATAACTGCTGCTTAACGTCGAAAGGGTTGTACCAAGAAATCTACTGGGACATACAAACTCGTCACCGAAATATTGAGCGTCGGACATTCCCTTGAAAAAGGTCGTTGGTCGCGGAATTGTAGTAGCTTAATCATGTCTTCTATCGGTAGCGGGGTTTGTCTCTAGTTCTTTACAATTATTTTTTAGTATGACCTTACTGCATCGCAGTTCTCTCGAGGCGGAAATGTTTTTCAGATAGAGTATGCCTGTAAGGCTGTCGAAAATAGCGGGCAAGAAATAACGTCATTATTTTACCCATGTTTTTAGTACAGCCATTGCTATCCAAGGTAAAGACTGTGTAGTTTTTGCCGTGGAGAATATTGTCACATCAAAACTTTACGAGCCCGGTTGTGTTAAACGAATTTATAATATTGATGACCATATCGGGATGGTAATTTATTAGTTACAATGCCCATACATTCTAGGTTGTGATGGGATTTCAAACTGACGCCAAGGCAATCGTTGAGGCAGCCAGAGAAGAATGCTCAAATTATCGTAATAGCTTTGGAAGCCGTATACCTCTCTATGTATGTTTCCCGTTTGCTATATTTCTTTCTATAGTCTCTGACGGAACGACTGGCTATGTACATGCACGCCCATACACTTTATAGTGCGGTCAGACCGTTCGGTGTATCAGTTTTGCTTGGTTCCTACGAAAACGATGGTCCTCATTTGTTCGTGATAGAGCCTTCCGGGTTGTCTTTTGTAAGTCTCCGCCAATGTTGTGCCGTAATTTTCTTATGAAGTGCTGTTTTACTCTGAGGTAGAGTAGTTTTTATCTGAGTAATGGGCGAGACTATAATATTTGGACGAACCAATCAGATCTACGATAACAGGTTAATATATTAGCGTTAAGTCATCAGAGATAACTACATGTTTGTGTTTACGGAAAATCTAATATAAATATACATTCATTATTAGCATTAAATCATTTTCGAATACTTTGACTAATTCTATTTTCTGAACATAATGGGGCAAATATAGTGTGCTGTTCGCTACTACGTGATGCAAACACAGAGTGAGTAATGCTGAGCTCCTGAGTTAAATATTGATTAAAAAAAGTTTGGTGAGGCTCTATCTTCAGTGACCATATCTGGGGATGTTTCATATGCAGTCATCGCATACCCTAATACGCATCTAAGGGCAAACAGATTTAGAAATGCCACCAGGTTATAAATTGTTATCCCACAAGTGCCGAATTCGTCCTTAGAGCCCGTGAAAAGTGCTTTGTTGATATAGTCTGAAATCAGTCTCAATAACGCGACTACATTCCTTTTGTCTCCTAAATCCAAATTTTAGTGTCCCGTGTTTCTGATTCTAAGTTTTTCACCGTTCTTTACTCATGCGGGTCATTATCCATCCTGTTTCTTTATATTCTCAGTGCTTAGCAAGGCATGTTATGCAGTCTTAACGTTTGCTTTGTTCACTTTCTGCAGTAATTAAAAATTGTAATTTTAGATGAATACTTATAAAATCCGTACTTTTGTCACGCTAGTTTTGAACAGCTTAACAATAGTTCTGTTATGAAATTTTCGAAATCCAATTGATTCTGATAGTCATTGCAAAATTTCCGTCATTCCATTTGCTCCATTAGAATTGAATCTCTCATATTTTGAAGTGCATTATTTTTTAAATCATTACTCACAATATGCTTTCGGTTTTTTGTTTCCTCTCACTGCACTGGTGTTAGGTGTGGAAATTTTATCCGATCGGCACTCATGCGAGGTTTTACTTTAGTGTTGACTGACTATTTCATTTGATTACTCTTCTCAAGAGATCTCTACTCGTCAGGTTGATAAGCCCCTAAATAAAAGGACATGTTCAAAGTTAATTATTCTTCTCAAGTTCAAGCTTGGAAACTAAATTATGGTGTTGGACAGATTATTTATAAGGTTTTAACCTCGGAACTTCAAACTAAGATCTCTAAGTAGTCTACTTATCTAATACATGTGTAATTTGTTAAATCCCTTTCCCTGAACTTCTGTATGACGTTGGTTATTGTTTGTCAGCAGTGTTATTATTAACCTCAATGTTGTCATACAAAACATCTGGTCACTCAGTAGATGCCCTAGTGGCTTCACTATATTATAGTAGATTTTGATTTAGCTACTTATTATCAAAATAATAAATTTCCTCTATTTCCTAGAATCAATTTATCTTACAACATTATTGTCTTTACTTTCTTTACATGAAAGGCTTATTTTGGTTGTGCCATTGGAAAAGCCAAACAAAATGCAACAACTGAAATAGAAAAACTGAAGATGAATGATTTGTCTCCTGAAGAATTAATCAAGGAAGCAGCCAAAATGTAGGTCTTTATGACATTTCCCTGTTCATGAGTTCATTGGGTTTACTGATACTTTGGCGCACGTCTGAGTATTCAGTCAGTCAGTAACAACGTAAACTTCGTACGTATTAGTAAATATGCGCTCAGCAAACAAAGTCCATTCAGTTTGTAGCCAAGTAAAAGAATGTGAAGTACGTCCGACGTTTCGTAGATCAATATATGTGCCTCTAGAAGTTTGTTGTGTTACCAACTTGTATCTTTTGACTGTGTGACAGCTGCTCTGAAGAAGGTGTGTAGTGCCAGCCTATATCTACCTTTTAAGAGACCTTACCTACATACTCCGATCGAAAAATTGTCTTACTGTTTGAGATGGCACACAAACTGTTCGCTAAATGATAATCATTAAAAACTTCGTAGTAAATAGCGTATGATCACTTTGAATATATTCGTAAAAAAAGATACGAAAGGGTTAAAGTCTGACAAAAAGTAGGAAGGACAACTAAAATAGTTTATTTCGTTTTCTTTGACTAAAAAAGGGACAAACGTATCTAACTTTCACATACAGAGAATAGAGTTTGCTCAAATCCATATAGCTCTGGCTACTTGTAGAAGACGAAATCGAAGACCGCTGGGAAGGCCAGAAGATATACAGCCAACCGATTTAGAGATTTTGGTTTTATCGACAGTAACAGATCGTTAGGCGTACGTATTTCGTCCGACTCTTTCCTAGCCGCAAAAGATGCTCGTTGGCTAAGTTGGTTAGTAGTTCAGTGTAGCTCAATTCACAGGAGCAGCTGAATTAATAAATGCGACTTGGAGTAGTAAAACCAGCTAACTTACCCTTTGATTAGCCGACCAGATAGCATCTTTGAGAGGCCTATCTTGTAATTTCGTTTTTAATGACATACAAATTGACGGGATAACAGTGAGACCTTTTTAGGTGTTATCTTACCTAATCTCCCTAAACTATTTTAGTAAAGAACTCTTGAGGGAGTTTAACTGTATACCTTCTGTGACCTGTTCACTTGTGAAAAAAGATTAAAGACAAATGGCATTTCCTTGACATTTTATTATACAGAAAAGATAGGTGTATCGGTATTTACAGTGTGCTAAGTAGTTTATGTACGTCTCAATACACATTTCTCTACTTTCATAATTATTCCCTGCAAGGGAAACGTAATCAAACGTTTTTCACCAACTGCTGCTTATTACCGAAAAGATCATTAAAACCAAAAGGGATATAAAAGTTTTTCCGAATCGACAGACGTGGACCACTGACTTAAAGCTATTGCAGTTTCCTAAGGCCTGGGGCCTCGTTCGATGCAATGCCTTTGGTGTGCATTGCTTGATTCCAAACTAGGAGTGTCGTTTGTATATGGATGCATGCATGAGTTACGGATTATTGGCCAAACGTATCTACAGCCAAAACGACAATAGATAACTGACACGCAAGATCACACCCAGAAGGAAATATAGATAACTAACTACACTTATCAATTACAGTGAAGTTTATTTGACACCTGTCCATGAAAAGATGGATATGTTTACAGAGTTGGGAAGGGATAGCGGCAGGTCTTACTAATATCTGCTTAAAGTACTATCCGTATTTATCACAGCGAGCTTCGTTAAGTCTTGCCAATTAGTGTCACAAATAAACTGTAAACGATTATAAGTTTTCTGATATTAATGTGCCTCGAAATATTTTCCGGACTAGAATTGATGATGTGGTAAATCAGTACAGTGATACCATGACTTAGATTTTAAACTAAAAGGGCACAATAATGACAAGAATTATTAAGGTCACTACCAATATTAACCTGTCTTATTGTGTTGAATCAATGGTTACGGTTTTCTGTTTTTGTAGAATTTATACCGTTCACGATGAAATCAAGGACAAAAATTTTGAATTGGATCTTAGTTGGGTTGGTGCAAGTAAGTCTATCGATCTGATAATATATACATATGTTTAGATACAAAGGGTATACATCAACCTGTTCCTCGCAAACTCTTTGATGAAGCAGAGACATTCGCCAAACAGGCTTTAGAAGAAGCTGATGATTTAGATGACGAAGTGGAATAAACTATGTACATTTATTATTTTCTAAATATGTTTTTTGAACCACATATCTTTGAAATTCTGTGGCGTCTCTCAAGCGTAGGTTTTCAAACCAATCTTTATAAGACGACAATCATCATTTTGGATATGGTTGTTGGCATTGCACTGAGTGTTTCCAGGAATTGATGGGTAGATATAAAACGTTTGATACTCTCTTTGGATGTTGGTGTATCACTATCGCACCAAGTATTTCGTCTCCCCATTACCGTTTATGTCCCACTTACCCAGGGAGTGAGGTGTCCCATCAATTAGGGAATAAGTGTGTTATTTAACGTTTCATTTAATACTAACTTGTCTGTAAAACACTAATACGGTTAATACTATCCGGACAGTTTTTTGAAGTATTGTTCATGTAAGTTCTTAACTCTCACCCATTCAGCATGATATAAAACAACCAATATTTGTTGTAGCAAGTGTATTTACTCAAGATTGCATTGATTTTTGTGTTGTAAATGATTATACAATCACAGAGTATATCAGGAGTTTACTTTGTAGAAATAACCAGAATCAACATTACTTTAGATATTCATTATCTATAAGGTACTCCTGGAGCATTGGGGCCAGCGGTAAACGCCTAATAAGTTCATTTACAGGTTGTTTAGGGAAAGAACGATGTTGCGTGGAACGTCTGAGACATGTGCGTATAGTAACTTTAGACCATAATGAGAGACGTTTCGGCTCAGACAACCACTTACTCAGCCAGTCATTCACTAAATTATCCAAATAACTAGAATGATCACAACCCATTTGTCTCAATGGTAAAATCTGGGATATGTTTCTAGGTACTTTCGTATGTCGACTAGACTCAACATAGCATGCAATTAATATATTGAACAACTTGATTTTGTGGTCAGCTGATATTGAACGTGGCCAGTCTTTAATATTGCTTAGGAATTTCAGACCTAATTTAGCTGAAAAGTTTACAATTAGATTTAATAAACAATATTGATGAAGCACATGAACTGTAGCAGTCATCAATACATTGGGATTAACGTTTGAGCAACTACTACTACATTCAATATCATCATCAGATATCAATGGTAAGAAATGCTGATACACAATAGACATAAAAATTTCATGTCCAGGAATATTGTTAGATGCTGGAAAGTAAGAAAGGAGATAAATTAATTTCTCATGATTCCCTGGAGGAAGTGGTTGTAATAATTGGCATTCGCGATAAGCATGACTTAAAAATTTGTCCATGGACCACTGAGTATCATTTAAGGGAAAAAGTTTTAAATTAGTACACAACACAGCACGTGAAATAGCAAAAGTGAATATATTATGCCAGAAGAAATCGAAGACAGATTTTGACTGCCTTACACTGTGTAATTCCAGAAGTGTTCCTAGGTTATATTCATGCTCATTAAAGTTCGCCTTAGAACAAACTTCACGCCAACAATCGATCCAATCTGTATATGGGAAACGTAATGCTAAGACAGCGAAATATAGTACAAGCGGCAGCAAACACCTGTCCGGAACTGTATTTTTTGGACTCCTATCGATATCTGCTAAATTCCAAATCAATTGTTTTTGGACTTCCGGTTGTTCAATACAAATCCTTGGGAATCCCCATTGAGACACAACTTGCAACCAAGTTCTAGCAGATGACGGGGGCGTGTATAATCCTAACTTTTGCAAGCGATGAATACAACTGAAGTTCTGACTAAATGGAACGACTTTTCTTAAAAAGTAGGATGAAATACGCATTAAACAAAGAGATACTTCTTCTTGATGAATAGACCAACGTTCTACGGCATCTGACCCCAAGTAAATCAAAAATTCTTCAATCCCTATTATTGATGGTTCTTTCTACATGCCAATAATAAATAACAAGTAAAGCAAGAAATTTATTTAAATTTACATAACTATTGCAATTAAATTATACAATATGCTCTAAGAGTTTATAAATCTACTCGTATCGAACTTCATAATTGTTTCATTTGGAAAGAACACTGTATTCAATGTTATTGCTTCGAAATTGTTTGTTTGTTTTAAGTAGTCTCTTTCCTATTACGTCAGTACCCAATAAAGTACTATTTAATAATTTGAATTTCGACTTTCAAAGAGTATCATCTCTATATTTTATTTAGGCCTAATATTGTTGGCTGGTAACACAAATATGGGGTGTACTTGACAGTGTATGTTGCGCAAAACAACTAACATACTTCCTTAAAATGCACCGAGTTTGTAATTTAATAACTGTGCAAGAGCTTACTCAAAATTAAAATAAAAAAACAGGTCCGAAATGCAGAGGTAATGTAACAACAGAACGCTGCTGTTGGAATGAAAGTAGATTAACGTTATCCTATGTAGAGTTAGACTTCCAATCAGGCAAGTTGTTGGTCCGTTGTTAGAATCTGTCAAAACTATCATGCTGTAAACGTTTACGAGTGGCTAGAGGTGAATGAATAAAAAAGCGACCATCAAAACGGCAAGGTTCAGCAATTACTGACACTACGTTGACAATGTATGAAAATTAGATCGATTATTGAAACTTACTTCAAGAACAATGGCACAAATTTCCTCAAATTCACTTAGCATGTATGGGACAGCATGAGCCTTTAGGAGCTTGAAATAAGCTAAAGATATTGAGAGGTCAGTATGCAATGCTAAAATCCAATAGCGATCCCGGCGTAAACGAAGAAAATTTATGTCGAGTGCATCCAGGACGTTAGCGGTTAACTAGCATGGTTTTAATAAGATATTTTAGTATAATGTGAACACACCTTCACGTTATCTTGACTTAAAGCAGCCACCAGAGGAGGCACATCATCCGCACACCGATAATCTGTTTCTGCTCCTGCACTTATTAGTAGATTAAATGATTCATAATCACTTTTCTCAACGGAAATGGTAAGAGCATCTTTACCCTTTGAAAGATGTTTATTAGTATATTAACTTACCATGAAATTTTTACGTTGAACTTCCGTTGCGCAGTCAAGATCCTTGCGAGCTTGTAGAGCAGAAATGCATATTTTAACACACTCCCATGAACCAGACATAGCAGCAAAATGAAGTGGCATATTGCCCTGTTAAATAAAGACAAACTTCCCGACTTACATCAAAGTCAGGAAGATTCGCCAAACCTGGATCCCCAGATAAAATTTGTAGTAACATACTGGGGTCCCCAGACAATGCTACTCTGAAAATAGTATGTGCAAATTCCATTGCTAAAAGAGCGTGTATATTGTTCGACAGATTACACTCAATGACTACTGGATGACTAAATAGAACAAGGTAAAAAGAAATATAAGTACATGCACTTTATTGAAGCATCTCAAAAATCATCAGTTTATGCCTAGAATCCATTTGTTTATGATTAACTAATTGTATTTTCAGGTGCTTACAGATGATGATGTTCGAAATCTGTTATCTTGAGGACATCGACTATCATATATACCATCAAAAGCATAATTTCTAAAATTTTAATGTAGCTTACTATTCAATACAATTGACTTTGAACAACAAGTGTGTAAAACTGGATTAAAAAATGCAACCCATTGGTCAGAGATCGAGTGTATTTGTAAAACATAAAGCCCACCAGCAGAGATAAGTTACATTTTTAACCTAACCTCCTACGCGAACTAACACCTATTAAGAGATAATCATGACATAAAGGGCAAAATGATGTGAAAATGTGGATTTCAGGACGAAGAAGCAGATTATTGTTTCACTCTAGCTGCCATTGTTTTGGACGTAAATAACACTAGATGAGTCGTACAATCAGTTCAAGACGTTATATGAACGTGGTATTAAGTGCTAGCACAACAAAACTTTAAAGTTGTCTAGTTAGAAGATTCGACCACTTTAAGCCGTCAGTGCCTATTACAGAAACCACTACACATCAAGCATGACAGCTTCCAAGTGAAAAAAGCTTTTTTAAATATACTTCAACCTCTTCATAAAGGTGACTCCTCCATCTTGGTGTACATAGTTTACGTATATCGCGTTTTCCGTGTGTAAGCAATCATATGTCAGAAGCTATTAATAACCGTGAGGCACATAAGATTTTCCAAAAATACCCAGAAATAGCATATCGACGGATGTAGATACTCAACATGTTCAACTACAAACCAACCGATTTTAGTCCATAGAAATTACGAAATGACTCACCTTTTTACTCAAACACTAGGACTGTTCTTGGCTATATCTGTCTCAGAATTTCGTTACATACTGCTGATCAAACCCAGGGTTGACAAGTTCGCCCCGGAATACCAGTTTATTTCTACAAAATAAGTTGAGATTTCCAACTATAGAAAAATTACACGTTCACTTCGTTTTATTACTGAAAGTAATGTCTTAAATCTAGTTATTAAAAGATATCCTAGCATAAACTTTCAGCTTGAGTTGAATAGCATGGTGACTGACATTTCTATAGAGGTGACTACTTTAGACATTTTGAATTTCATGAGAACCTCACCTTAAAAATCTATAACAACACAAACTTCCTGAACAATGAGTATTCCCCAGACTATGATCAAAGAGGTCTTCGATCAAAATTTTTTATGACAGATATGATAATATAGTCTTCTGTCTTGATATTTCACTTGGGTATAAGTTTAGGGGCAAGGTGTTTTGATTTCTCAGACTAGGATTGACATTACGGTTGAGCTCTCCTTGTTGTGGTCCAAACAATATGTTCCGTTTTCCAAGACCTTTGTTGTCGTGACGTTAGTTTAGTTTACTCCGGCCAACCAATAGAGCTTTACTTGACACATCATGAAGCCTGTTGGGAATACTGTCCCATTATCTGTCTATTTAATTTAGCACATCAGATGCAAGTTTTTTATCGCATAATAATCTCAGTTGTGAACATGTTAAAGATGAGCAGAGCGCGACTACTGGTATCAATAAAGGAATACGCTTGATACTTCAGACTGTTCTGTGGTCACATGTGAGATAAAACCTAGCTTCAGTGGCTTTGATATCATTATCATATTTTCATCTCTTTATTCAGCCTCGGACAGTACAGTGCATTTGATTGCAGTATGACTTAACTCATTCATGAGCATTGTAATGCTCGGAAGAACCACGGCCAATATCGGTTGTTTATTAAAGTAAATGCTGTTTATTTCGTTAGGTATTTAGTGTTATTGACACTGATACAAAGGCAAATCAACCCTATCAAATATCTCGTTGAGTATATAATATCACAAAATGTGAGCAGAAAGTTGAAGAGTTGAGTGAAACAGCAACCCAAACATACAACAGTCTAGTTTGTGTACAACTGAAACGAATAGAAAGTTCCCCCATCGTACTAACTAAGAGTTATACAACACTGCTACCAAAAGCAAAAACTGGAACACCGCGGTCCGAATGAAGGTCAAGCAGTGAGAGTTGAATACAATTTTTCGTGATGAGCCAGATTTTCGGTTTAAGTGAACACTTTCGTCCAGCGGTAACAAGGTTTCTGAAGTCAGC